CGTCTACCACACGGCCACCAAAGCGCTTTGGGGAGCTACACGTACACTCTTGGCCTTTGATCGCATCTTTTGTCTCAGTTTCTCTCATTTAATTCTTAAATTTCTTTGGTTTATTCGTGTGAGGTAAAATGCGTCTACTCTGTGGAACTGTAGCGGCTTTAGCGTTTCTAACCATGGCGAGTCACGTGCTGGCGGCGGACAAAAAGAACACAAAGAAACTGCAGATTGGTGTAAAGAAGAGGGTAGAAAACTGCGCTACACGATCCAAGAGTGGCGATACCTTGCACATGCACTACACAGTGAGTGAGAATACAAAATTGTTGTGTTTTGAAATCCTACTGAAATCCTACTGCAGCAACCTCAGTCTTAAATATAACTGTTTTACTGTCAGTATCTCAACCCTGAGGTAAATGGGAAGCCTCAATGTACAAGCCCCGTGGTTTTCTTTTCAGGCTGCCCTGCGATAGAAAATCTGTAATTTTCCCCTTAGTGGTAATGTGAAATAGGGTCCTAAAATATTATATTACTAAAAGGTAAAGCTCAAAACCTTGAATTCATAAAATGGTACCTGTTCTTATCCCTTAAAGTCCCAAGTGACCGACATCAATTTTCTCGTAACAACATCAATACGTAATTAAAGTAAAAGTTTATGAGAATGAATAAAATGATCTCCTAAGGGAAAATACTTTGATCGTTGAACAAATTGTCACAACTAGTTCTGTAAGGAAATGTATGGAGATCAGTTTGGAGAATTTGTTTGTGGATAATGGGGCTTAAAGGGTTATTAATCATAACTATAACAAAATCTCAAATCTGATTGGCTATCAACTGTCCTGATTTCCATTCTAAATATTGTATGAAGAGAAAATATTATGAGCTCTTCATCGGGACAAACAAAGCTTTTCAGCTATTTTTTAGACTCTGAGTATTGGTCCGGCTCTATATATTAAGGCTGTCAGCACAAGAATAGGTGTTGGAGAGCAATGATGGTTTAAGTATAGTTTCCTGTCATTTTGGCTCTCCATGGAAAAGGGGTATGTTTGAGGATGCCATCTTTAACTGTAACATTTGAGATTAGGACAATAATTAGTACACTGTTTTATCTATAAAAGACAAATTCCAACACTTCTTCCCAAAGGATTGCAAAGTTTTTCTTTTGTCTTCATCATTGGTCTTTGATGTCTCATTTCAAGGTACAAGTTCATTTGCATTTTGGAGATGCAAGCTGGTTAACTTGTTAAAATTGATAATAAAAAATTAAGGTATTACCACTATGTTTGGATATAGTATATGATATGACCAGCTGTCTGCTGATTCACAGGGAACGTTAGATGATGGAACACAGTTTGACAGTAGTATTCCACGTGGGGAACCTTTTGTATTCACACTAGGTGTAGGACAAGTAATTAAAGGTGGGTGTACCAGTTACCAGCTGAACTCTTAATCAACCCAGCTATAAGTGACTCGTGGGTGGTCAGAGGACTTTGCATCTTTTGAGTAGACTGGCCTACACCAGTCAAGGTAGTGCCCTAGCGGTGCTAGTTGGCCCCTGGCACCTTACTTTTGCTCCTAGGCGACTTTTTTGTAGAAACCATATGTAGGGCACCCTGGATTTCACAGGTTCAGAGCACTGCGCTCCTTCAATTTTTCTTAGGGCACAGCTTTGCCAGTCAAAACAGCACATTAAATTACCTGCATCTGGCAGGCTCCATTAAAAAATGTTGTGAACACTTTAATACAACCAACCACCCAATACACCGAAAACTGAAACAGATATAATAATACATCAGTACAATAAGAGTACTCAGAATAAACTCTTTTGAATATTAATTGGCTGTAGTCTCCTCTGATCTCCCTCTCTCTGTAAAGTTAAATGATTGTTTTAAAACTTTCAAGGTGATGATAGATATTTTTCTGGGATCACACATTTTTAACTGTTTTCTGGGTTTTGTAGGTTGGGATCAAGGTCTTCTAAAGTAAGTAACCAGAGTTTGCAAATCTATACAAAATATTACTATTGTATGTTAGGTTGCTTGCTGATAAATGAGCAGCAAAATGACTTTCACATTCTTGAAATGATGTCTCAAGAACTCATGTTTTATTTTTTCTACTGACTTGTTTCAAGTGCACTTGCAGTGTATTTAGTACATATAACTTACATTTTGTTTATTTTTTTTGTTAAAGTAAGTGTATATTTCGTAGAGTTTAATAAACTGATATCTATTCAACTATTCTATTTTATTCTGTTTAGTCATGCCATACTGTCTCTAAAATAACTGCAAAAGCGTCAGTGTAGTGTTCATAATCTTCTATTTTTTTTTCTGTTGATAGCATGTGTGAGGGAGAGAAGAGGAAGCTTGTTATCCCATCAGATCTTGGTAAGTTTTTACTGACAGTAATTTCCCTCTAACAATATATTACAGGGTTCATACAGGTCATCATGAAAAACCTGGAAAGTCATGGGATTTAAGCATTTCATTTTCCAGGCCTGGAAAGTGATGGAATTTAATTTTTGGTCCTGAAAGGTCATGGAAAATTTAAGTTTTGTTTGATAGATGAGTTACTGCAGATGACAAGGCAAGGATAATGTAAGATAAGGAGGAGTAATTAACCAGTGCAAGCGGCACACATTTTGGTGGACACCAGAGTTTGTGTCTGTTGAACTGTTTAAGGTGCAAAAATTCCCTAAAACAAGGAACATTTTTAAAATGAAAGTTCGAAAGTGACAGCTAAACCTAAGGTCTTGGAAAACTTAAAAAGGTCATGGAAAAAGTAATGGAAAGTCATGGAATTTCAAGAGCTCAAAAGAGTACAACCCTGTGTTACTCACTATGTTCATAACTATAACAAACTTCTCAAATCTGATTGGTTATCAACTGTCCTAATTTGATTAATGAGCATGCGCTGAACTGTGAACCTGTCCCTTTAACTGTGTTGTACATTTACATGACTGTATACTTTTTTTTTTAGGCAAATCTTTGTTTACACTTTTTGCCTCATTAACATATGCTTATCACTATCTGATGACACTAATAAAATAAAGACTCTGAACATTGAAAGGGCACAACGGTGTCAGTTATCTGTGAAAATTTGTGCCCAATACACCGAATGGTTCTGGAGAAATTCTCTTCTAAAAACTTGAAATTTTACAGAGAATGTATGGCTTGCTAACTTTTTTGCCACCCAGCAATTTCACAGTTTTTGATGGCTGATACTTCCTTCAATATTGTTTGCAAGGAGCTGCAAATTGTGCAAATTGCTCAACTTAATCAGCTGTTTCAACTTTTGCATTTACTTCATATGTACGGCCACAGCAGCTGGCGGCGGACAAAAAGAACACAAAGAAACTGCAGATTGGTGTAAAGAAGAGGGTAGAAAACTGCGCTACACGATCCAAGAGTGGCGATACCTTGCACATGCACTACACAGTGAGTGAGAATACAAAATGGTTGTGTTTTGAAATCCTACTGAAATCCTACCGCAGTAGCCTCAGTCTTAAATATAAATGTTTTATTGTCAGTATCTCAACCCTGAGGTACAATGTAAATGGAGCCTGAATGTACAAGCCCCGTGGTTTTCTTTGCAGGCTGCCCTGCGATAGGAAATCTGTAATTTTCCCCTTGGTGGTAATGTGAAATAGGGTCCTGAAATGTTATATTACTAAAAGGTAAAGTTCAAAACCTTGAATTCATAAAATGGTACCTGTATTTTCTTATCCCTTAAAGTCCCAAGTGACCAACATCAATTTTCTCGTAACAACATCAATTCATAATTAAAATAAAAGTTTATGAGAATGAATAAAATGATCTCCTAAGGGAAAATGCTTTGACCTTTGAACAAATTCTCTCAACTAGTTCTTTAAGGAAATGTATGGAGATCAGTTTGGAGAATTTGTAAGTGGATATTGGGGCTTTAAAGGGTTATTAATCATAACTATAACAAAACCTCAAATCTGCTTGGCTATCAACTGTCCTGATTTCCATTCTTAATATTTTCTGGAGATAAAATATTATGAGCTCTTTATCAGGACAAACAAAACTTTTCAGCTATTTTTTAGACTCTGAGTATTGGTCTGGCTCTATATATTAAGGCTGTCAGCACAAGAATGGGTGTTGGAGAGCAATAATGGTTTAAGTATAGTTTCCTGTCTTTTTGGCTGTCCATAGAAAAGGAGTATGTTTGAGGATGCCATCTTCAACTATAACATTTGACATTAGGACAGTAATTATTATTAGTACTTAACACTATTTTATGTAATATATTATCTATAAAAGACTAATCTGAGATCAGGCTCTATTTTCGTTTCGCTCTGGCAGGCAAGAGAGAATGTATGAGAACCGCTCAAATTGGGCCTGATCTCAGGTTAATAAAAGACAATTTCCAACACTTCTTCTTCCCAAAGGACTGCAAAGTTAGTTTTTCTTTTGTCTTCATCATCAGTCTTTGATGTCTCATTTCAAGGTACAAGTTCATTTGCTTCTTGCAGATGCAAGCTAGTTAACTGGTTAAATTGAAAAAAATTAAGGTATTATTTGCCACCATGTTTGGATATAGTATATGATATGACCAGCTGTCTACTAATTCACAGGGAACATTAGATGATGGAACACAGTTTGACAGTAGCATTCCACGTGGGGAACCTTTTGTATTCACACTAGGTGTAGGACAAGTAATTAAAGGTGAGTGTCAAATTTACAAGTATTTACATTATGAGTCTGATTGCACATGATTGCAGAACTTTTTGATTTAAATGTCCTCACCCCCAAGAAAAGTTATTTCAGTGAAGATTATTTACATCTGAAGTAGATAAAGCCTGTGAGAGTAGATGCCTTTTTTGGCTCTTGTTTTACCTAGAAGAGCCAAAAAAGACATCCTCTCTCGTAGGCTAAAGTGTAGACTGTACGGTACAAGCAGAAATACTCAGAATAAAAAATCTGTAACCGCCAGCAGGATTTGAACCCACAACCTACCAGTCACCGGCTGAACTCTTAATCAACCCAGCTATAGGTGACTCGTGGATGGTCAGAGGACTTTGCATCTTTTGAGTACACTGGCCGACACCAGTCCAGGCAGTACCCTAGCAGTGCTGTAGAAACCATATGCAGGGCACCCTGGATTTCACAGGTTCAGAGCACCAGGCTCCTTCAATTTTTCTTAGGGCACAGCTGTGCCAGTCAAAACAGCACACTAAACTACCCTGCATCTGGCAGGCACCATTAAAAAATGTTGTGTACACTTTAATACAACCAACCACCCAATACACTGAAAACTGATACAGATATAATTACATACAGTACAATACGAGTACTCAGAGTAAACCCTTTTGAATATTAATTGGCTGTAGAGTCTCCTCTGATCTCCCTCTCTTTGTAAAGTTAAATAATTGTTTTAAAACTTTCAATGTGACGATTGATATTTTTCTGGGATCACACATTTTTAATGGTTTTCTGGGTTTTGTAGGTTGGGATCAAGGTCTTCTAAAGTAAGTAATGAGTGTTTGCAAAATGTATACAAAATATTATTATTGTATTTTAGGTCGCTTGCTGATAAATGAGCAGCAAAATGACTTTCACATTCTTGAAACGATGCCTCAAGAGCTCATGTTTTATTTTTTCTACTGACTTGTTTCAAGTACACTTTGCAGTGTATTTAGTACATATAACTTACATTTTGTTTATTTTTTTTGTTTAAGTAAGTGTATATTTCGTAGAGTTTAATAAACTGATATCTATTCAACTATTCTATTTTATTCTGTTTAGTCATGCCATACTGTCTCTAAAATAACTGCAAAAGCGTCAGTGTAGTGTTCATAATCTTCTGACTATTTTTTTTTTTCTGTTGATAGCATGTGTGAGGGAGAGAAGAGGAAGCTTGTTATCCCATCAGATCTTGGTAAGTTTTTACTGACAGTAATTTCCCTCTAACAATATATTACAGGGTTCATACAGGTCATCATAAAAAACCTGGAAAGTCATGGGATTTAAGCATTTGATTTTCCAGGCCTGGAAAGTGAGGGAATTTAATTGTTGGTCCTGGAAGGTCATGGAAATTTTAAGTTTTGTTTGATAGATAAGTTACTGCATATGACAAGGCAAGGACAATGTAAGATAAAGAGGAGTAATTAACCAGTGCAAGAGGCCCACATTTTGGTGGACACCAGAGTTTGTGTCTGTTGAACTGTTTAGGGTCCAAAAATTCCCTAAAACAAGGAACGTTTTTAAAATGAAAGTTCGAAAGTGACAGCTAAACCTAAGGTCTTGGAAAACTTAAAAAGGTCATGGAAAAAGTCATGGAATTTGAAGAGCTCAAAAGAGTGACCCTGTGTTACTCACTACGATCATAACTATAACAAACTTCTCAAATCTGATTGGCTATCAACTGTCCTGATTTGATTAATGAGCATGCGCTGAACTGTGAACCTGTCCCTTTAACTGTGTTGTACATTTACATGACTGTATCCTTTTTTTTTTGGCAAATCTTTGTTTACACTTTTTGCCTCATTAACATATGCTTATCACTATCTGATGATGCTAATAAAATAAAGACTCTGAACATTGAAAGGGCACAACAGTGTCAGTTATCTGTGAAAATTTGTGCCCAATACACCGAATGGTTTCGGAGAAATTCTCTTCTAAACACTCGAAATTTTACAGAGAATGTATGGTTTGCTAACTTTTTTTGCCGCCCAGCAATTTCACAGTTTTTGATGGCTGATATTTCCTTCAATATTGTTTGCAAGGAGCTGCAAATTGTGCAAATTGCTCAACTTAATCAGCTCTTTCAACTTTTGCATTTACTTCATATGTACGGCCACAGCTTCTATGAGTTAAGTCGTATGCTAATGAGGAAAAATGTGAACAATGACGTTAGCAACGATTTGCCTATATGACGACCTATTTCCAACTTCATTGTCATTTTTCAGTTTCATTCCATTGAAATATGTGTATAATGACCTATTTCCAATTTTACTGTCATCTTCTAGGTTATGGTGATAGAGGAGCTCCTCCTAAGATTCCTGGTAAGTTTTTTGCTTTGAATTTTTTAAGATGAATAAAATTAATATATTTAGTTTTTTGCACTTTGAAACAGGACTGATTAGAGTCCAGTATAATTTTTCTGTAATTGATAGTGACTAAACAAAGCCAGGTTAGTCGGATTTGCTCAAACCAGAAGACCCGAAATGCTTGTGAATCAAATGGAGATGTTTTCATTAGATCAAGACTTGAGGGCCTTGGTCCATGCATCTCAATAATATATATATATATATCTCTTTTTTCCTTTACAGGTGGAGCTACCCTGATTTTTGAGGTTGAATTACTAAAAATAGAGAGAAAATCTGAATTGTAATTTCCAGTGATCAGTTCTAATGTAAAATAAATACCTCTTTTTGCAGGCTATATTTTTCTCATGACTGTCACAACTTATTCCTTTTTTAAATGCTTTTTCATCTAAGACTTAATTATGTAAGAGGCAAATTAATGTTTTTTATACATTTGAGTTAAGTAGATTAGTCACTCACATTGACTGCTTCAATAGAAATAGTGATTAGCCTTATAAATTTATTTGGGAGAATCTTTTTTTTACATGTGTGAAAAGAGCAACTCTTCAATCCCTTTATGCTAGCAAATTTTTATGCTAGTTTGTCTCTTCAGTTGATGAAGCCAATTTGACCCTTTATCATCGAGTGATGTAATAGGCCACCAGTAGTCTCATGGAAAATACGTTGTCTCTTTTGTAACTGAACTTTTGTCATGAAATTTTGATTAAAAGCTAGTAACACCTTTATTTTGTATTGTTATGCATTTAGTTGGAATATCTTATTTACTGTGTCAAGGATTTAGCGCAATAATTACCCCTAACATGGTTGCCATAGAAATTGGTTTTCAAAATTCCCTAATTGAAATAAAATGTTCCCGACCAAATCAAATGAATACAAAATGTTTGAATGATACGGTAGCAGCCCCAGACTTCTCTTTAATTTTATTAAAAGAAATTCCTTCCTTTAGTCCATCCTTTTAGGTGAACACAAGCATATTTACTGGCCTTGCTTAGACTCCACTCTACAATGATTAGCCAGGGCTTTCGAATGTCATCTGTCTGGTGCTAAATTCAATGCTTAACCCCTTTTTACTCTCCGAACCAAGAGGAGAAAGTAAAAAATTATCAGTGACCACTGGGTGTGGGATTAGAGAATTTGCATTTCAAACATGGTGATGCCCATGAAATGGTCATTGACTCGGTGTCAACTCAAACTTCTTCACAAAGTTCTGATATCAAAATTCAGTTATTTAAATAAGTAACTCAGAAATTAAGTTCGAGCTGAAGAGAGCATGCTTGTGGTATGAGATCAGATACCCTAAAAATTGATTTAATCATTTATTTAAATTTATGGCATTCACATTCTCAAGAAAATCATAAAATGTCATAGTTATACAGGAATAGCAAAGGAATTCACAGAAAAGTGTGATGTACACTCACAGAGTTCTTGCTTTAGCCTGTATACAAACTCTCTGCCAGGGGACTCTAGACAAGTCTGGGGTCAGGGGAGAGAAAGGGGAGACAGCTTCTTTCTTTTTTCTCCTCTGTCACCTGAGCTCCTGGGAGAGCTTGCTTGAAGTTATTATTGTTTTTGCTCACTAAACCTATCTTACAGTTACGATAGTTTGAAATTCCTGTTACCTTCAACTTGTAGTTTCTTAAGGTCTTGCTGATCTCAAAGCCTGATACACAAGTTGAGATGCTCTTTCGAGACAGATATGCTTATCAGCATTCTGCAGACCCTCAGCAAAAACAAGTGCATATTAACATAATTTAAAAAGGAAATTCAAAACTACATATTTAATTACAAAAGAAAGAAAATACTTATTGGAAATTGCCTTTGATCAAATTATTACTTAAAAAGTTTCCATATAATAAACTGCCGGTACATGAAAATAAACAGAATTCTCCTAGCACTGATCAATGTGATCACTCCTGCTGCACAAAAATAAAAAATATTGTGCCATGATTTTTGGGTGCTCAAAATCAAACAAACACCAGATAATAAGAGTTCAACCACAAGGATTAATATCATCTGTTCTTCATTCATCTATCCTCTGAAAAGATCTTCCTACTTTCTTTGGCCCTGGACTAACCATCTTCTTTCTTGCTTCTTGACGCCCACTTTCTTTGTGATCAAAAACACAATTATGTTGCTCTGGCAATCGATGCAATTGACAGAAGACAAAATCTAAAAGAAAGAATGAGGTAAAATGGACTTAAAAGTGATTCCCTGGTTTTGCACTGCGCATCTCTTACTGCGCATAACAAGATGGCCTCCGTAAAAAAGAGCATGTGAAGTAACATTATTAAAATGAAGTTGACCAAAGAGAAATGCCATTGCAATTTTTGCTTGCGGTTGCTTCTTCCCGAGGTGAGGCTCAATGTGGTGGGAATGTGCATAATGTAAGCAGTACGCGTGTTGCTGAGTTCGACTTCCTCATGGAGAACCTCGATAGTGGATGTTTAATTTGTGCTTATTCACTTTGATTTTCATTTAAACGCTTTCTTTATCACATTGTGTCCTAAATGTGATATCTCGATATAAATTCTGTAAAAACGGATTTTTTAACACTTTCTTTCCCCTTTCGCATACATTCTATTTTGAAACTCGCCCCAGTCCTCTCTCAAAAATCAAGGAAAATGCGTTTGGTGCGCACTTTCTGCAGCTCTACCGCAAAAACGAGTAAAGTGACCCCCTTTTTTTATTTCATGATTTTAATAAGGACAGTGCTTCCTTTCAGTGAGAAAAAAATTGGCACCAATCTATGTTCAGTTTTTTGGCAATTTTACTAAATTGTACGGATTGAGCTATCACGTGTCGAATAGCGCGTGTCCAATTTAAATCTACTTTGGAGCGTAAAGTAAAAACAAGGGCATTAAAAGGCATTTTTCTGATACATAAGTGGATAAACAATACATTAAATTCAAATTCTGTGCGATACCACATGCATCATTGAAA